ATGGCCGCTTGTTTGTCTTCAAGCCTTTAAGACCCCAGACGCTATATCTTTTGGTAGCTGGGCACCATCAGCTTTCTTCACTACATTTGCTTGTGTTCACATTTTTCTTCAGCAATTGTGTTGGGAAGGTGTGCATCCTGGAATGCCAATTTAATAGAACATCGCATTCTTGCATCGAGTAAGTGCTTGAGTGGAGGCCCAGTGTCCATCTGTTGCCTTAATACTAAACCTATAAATCTATGCACATAGCTCTGTTTCCCCACACGCATATAAATATGTTTACATATATACATTCCTGTCTTAAAACCTCTATAAATACCCTTTGTCACCTAGTTCTTTCCTCTATTTCCTTTTATTTTCCTCTTGTCCCACTATCATGCTCAGCCTTCATTTGGGTTTCAATGATTTCTCTTGGTTACATTGCTCTTGCTGAATCTCTACCAGGCCTCTCACACCCTCCTTACCACTGTTTTTGGATCACTTGTTGCTTCCCTGTCTCTGTGTTGGTCAGCACCACCTCCTTACCCCCGCCTCCCCATCTCCCGTGTCCCCCCGGAACCACTGGTCCCATTGTTTTTTCCTCCAGACTATTCATCCAGTCTATCTTATCTAGATAGATCTGTAGAGATCATAATATACATCAAAAACCAAGCCATTGCAAGATAGGTGATCAGTGAGAACACAGCGATTCTGCCGCCTTCTTGCTGGTATACATGGAAAAACATGTGCCAAAGAAAGCCATAGCCAGTTGTGCCTTAGTAGAAACGGAGCCAAGTAGAAGTTGGCTGAGGAATAGGAGGAGGCCTCAAAAAGTGTGTGGGAAAATTCCATGATCAGTTCCGGTATTCCACGGCCTTCTTGAGACCCCTTGTATTCACTTGAAGATCCAGGGGAGACCACTGAAAGAGCCATCAGTTGAGGAATGACGTGATTGGGCATTTACAGCACTCTGATCCTGTCACAGTGACTCCTCACAGCCAGCCAAATCAAGACGAGACCCGATCCCTGTTCTCAAGGGAGTTAACTGAGACGTGGGGAACGGTGGACTCTACGAGGTCACCCCTGGAGGGGAGAGGAGGTGACAGCCATGCTGTGGGGCCTGGATCTTGCTCCTGAGGGCCATCTTAGCAGCTCTGCTCCACCAGTTATGACCTACTTTGGGGGACCAGGGAAAGGAAATGTGGCCAGGCCCTGATCGCTTCTGTAATCTACCCAGACCCTGTGTTTGTCTTTAACAGCAAAGCTCTAATTCTGGCACCCTGATGTGCTCTTGGCTTCCCACTTCTTAAAGCAGCGGTCATCCTGTCCAGCCCTCTTCCCCTTTCACTTTCCTGGGTGCCAGCCCCAGGGCACTTCTCCGAGCCTTTGTTATAGATGCCCTCACAAGATTGGGGCACAGCGACCTACCGACCGCTGTTGCTGGGCTCCGATTCCAAGTCTGCCTTCCCCTTGCTGTCGAGTAAAGCACAGGGTGTAAAGACAGCCCTAGTGAGCCCTATGCCTTTTGGGGCTGTGATTTAACTTTTTGCCTCTTTTCACACTTGTCAAATAAGGGCAGTGATGATACTTGTTATTATAAAAGCCTTAACCTGGAATGAGCATTCAACTGAAGATGTTATTCTGCTTCAATGAGTGTGATAATTTTAGAGAAATGTTTAATGTCTTCTTCTGTTTGCAGCTATTGAAATATTTGAAGAAACTCTCCACTTTGCCCATTACAGTCGATATTCTTGCGGTAAGAGCTAAATAACTTTTCATGTTCCCAAACTATTTCCGATCCCTTTCCCACGGGAAAGCGTAGACTAATGACGGCGGGCACTGGCTGTGGAGCTGAAAGCAGCCAGATACAAAGGGCTACATGCGTGATTCTGCTTTTTTATGAAATGTGCAGAATCGCGGAATCCATAGGCACAGAGTAGACGAGTGGGTGGCAGGGGATGGTAGGAATGTTCTAGAATTAGATAGCAGTGGTGGTTACACAGTATTATGAGTGTTCGGAAAACTACTAAATTGTACACTTAAGGATAGTTCAAATGGCTAACTGACAGTCTGTGGATTTATGTCTTAGGAACATGTACAGTAATAAAAAGAGTATGCACTTCGGGCAGAACCAGTACTGGGTTCAAGTCCCAGCTCTGACTTTAGGCTGTTGCTTCTTTGTAAAATGGGCTGGCTGGCTCCCGCAGCAGTCATGAGAGAGACGGCCTTGGGTGCTGATAGACAACTCTTGTTAGCTCAGTACCTGGCAGCTGCCCTCTCTCTCTCTGTCTGTCTGTCTATCTGTCTGACTTTATCCCTCTCATCCTATTATTGTTAAGAATGCATGAATGTCTTTGTCCTTTGAATCGGGTACATTTTGTTATGATGTGTCTTTGGAGGTTTGAGGCAAAGATATACGATATTTTGTGTTGACATTTGCGAAGTCTGTTTTCTGGGGGAGGTGTTGTTTGTTGCCGGGTGCAGTGGTTAAACAGTGCTTGGCTACAAACAGAAAGGCCTGCTGTGCAAACCCACCAGCGGCTCTGTGGGAGAAAGACGCAGCAGTGGTCTGCTTCTGTAAAGACTGTCCCCTCGGGAACCCTGCTGAGGCCACGCCTACCCAAGGCACACAGCAACACCAACCTGGGGACTCCGTCACAGCAGGCGGTCCTGTGACGTGTCACTTTAGAAATATGTGAACCTAGTTCTACAACCCTCTTCATGATTTTCCCCCTCAAATTTCTAGGAGACTGGCGTTGGGAAAACAGTAAATAGCTTGCGAAAACATGATCATGTGGGAAGCTTCGCCCGAGACCTGGTGGCCCAGTGGAAGAAGCTGGTCCCCATGGAACGGTAAGAACAGCCTTGGTTTGCTCCACCTCATGGTTAAACCGCCGTCTGGAAGGATTTACATCCCGAAAACCTTTCCTTTATTATTTCTTTTCTGCACTCTTTGTTAGCATACCTATTTTGCCTCAGTTATACAATTAATCCGTGTCACTGAATAATGTTACACAATATAGAAAAAATAAGATTAAAAGCCTCTTGTAACCCCACCATCCACAGAGAAGCATTCCCATATATACTCAAGTCTAAGCCAACCTGACTATCAGCTGGGCCACCTAATTTTACCACAAAAACTGCATTTAAAATGTGCTGGAAACACGGCTTATACACGAGTATATACGGTATTTACATTTTGCTCTATCTCTTTGTAACCTCTTTTTCAATGGCTTTTTCACATTAACTGTGTATCGTGGCTTGCGTGAGAGTTGACAGAACAAATTGGTTTCCCATTCAACAATTCATACACATTTTGTTTCCTGACATGGATTGCAACCTCCACCATGTAACAGCACTCTTCCACTTTGTTCCTGGGTCCCCTGTTTCCATGTGTTGCCCTTTCCTGCTCCTACCTGCCCTCTGACCTTTGTTTTCTGGGCAGATATGGCCCTTTGGTCTCCTAGTCTGCCCTGGTGTTATAATTCACTTTCTAAGGCTGTCTGCTGTTTGGCTGAAAGGGGACCCTTGAGTGTCTAATGGCCGTAGTCGTAAGAGTTTCATTTGTCTCTTCAGACCGGGATAAGCTTGGCTGTTTTGATGATTCTTAAATTTGTTCTACCTTGTTTTTCCCTTCCCCTCTATCTAGGACTTTCTATTTAGTTTTGATTAGTGCAGTGGGTGGTGGTGTCCAGGTCCCATTAGTTCCTCTGGTCTCAGAGTGCTGGAGACGGACTCGTGGGTGCATGGGACCTTTGCGAGAAAGGCAACATGTTGGTTCCAAAGAGGGACGGGCAGCTTTGCCCTGTCCTTTCGGGTTGCTGTGAGCTGGAGTCGACTCAATGGCTGTGAGTAGTTTTTGTTTTTTTAGTTAGTCCTTCGGACCTATTTTTTCCCTCGAGTGTTTGGTTTTCTTCATTTGTTAAAAGGCATTTTTATATAGCTGTGGACAAACTAGAACTTGATAACTCTTTTTATGAAATAAGTTAAACATATCCCTTATTGGGCGCCATCCCCTCCCACCCACCCCCACTCAAATCTTTCAGGGTTTTTATATCCACAAGATAGTGATCTTTTTTTTGTGTGTGTGTCGTATGTGGTGTAGTGGTCACTCATTGGTTGCTAACTGCAAGGTCAGCAGTTCTAAACCACCAGCTTTACAGTCTCAGAACCCATGGGGCTGGTTCTAGTCTGCCCTGTAGGGTTCTATAGGGTCCCCGTGAATTGGAAGCCACTTGACGGCAGTGAGAGTTTGAGTGTGTGGTCACATTAAAAAAAAAAATCATTTTATTAGGGGCTCATACAACTCTTATCACAATCCACATACTAATCAATTGTGTAAAGCACGCTTGTACATTCATTGCCCTCATCATTCTCAAAACACTTGCTCTCCACTTAAGCCCCTGGCATCAGCTCCTCATTTTCCCCCTTCTTCTCCACTCCCTGCTCCCTCATGAACCTTTGATAATTTATAAATTATTATTTTGTCTTGTCTTACACTGTCCGACTTCACCCCCTTTTCTGTTGTCAGTCCCCCAGGGAGGAAGTTATATGTAGATCCTTGTAATCTGTCCCCTCTTTCCACCCCACCCTCCCTCCACCCTCCCGGTATCGCCGCTCTCACCACTGGTCCTGAAGGGATCATCCACCCTGGATTCTCTGTGTTTCCAGTTTCTATATGTACCAGTGTACATGCTCTGGTCTAGCCAGGTTTGTAAGGTAGAATTGGGATCATGATAGTGGCGGGGTGTGGGGCATTTAGGAACCAGAAGAAAGTTGTATGTTTCATCGTTGCTACACTGCACCCTGACTGGCTCGTCTCCTCCCTGCGACCCTTCTGTAAGGGGATGTCCAATTGCCTACAGATGGGCTTTGGGTCTCCACTCCGCACTCCCCCTCATTCACAATGATATGATTTTTTGTTCCTTAATGCCTGATACCTGATCCCTTTGACACCTCCTGGAGCACATGGCTGGTGTGCTTCTTCCATGTGGGCTTTGTTGCTTCTGAGCTAGATGGCTGCTTGTTTACCTTCAAGCCGTTATGACCCCAGACGCTATATCTTTTGATAGCTGGGCACCATCAGCTTTCTTCACTGTGGTCACATTTGTCATTTTCCATTTATGGAATCAAGTTTCACAAACTTTAACACCTCCCTGTGTTTTCTATGTTTTTAACTTTCTGTGAATTGGGGAAGGTTACAGAGCAGATGATCAGTTTTACATTCAACAATTCGTATGTTTGATTCCTCTTATTCATTGCGATCTCCTCAGCATAATGCCACCCATCCTACCTCCTCCCTGTGTGTTTCCCATTTCCACTTTCCTTCTCTTCTAGCCCTTCTGAACTTTGTCTGTGGGCAAATGCAGCCCCTGCATCACAAGGCGTTGGTTATTCTCAGGTGTGTGTACCCGACTAGTGTTATCGTTCCCTTTATAGAACTGTCTACTTGGCCTTCCACCAGGATCCCTTTTAGAGCAATTGCTAGTGGGCTGGGCACCTTTTAGGCTTTCTAGGCCCAGGATGTTGAAGACAGTGCTCATGATTGGACTGTCCCTTGTGTCTTCAGGTGTCAGCACTCTTCTTTCCGCCAGGCAGGGAGAGAGCAGTACAATGGCTGGAGAGGGAGTTTTAATGTTGAAAACATATGTCACAAAACACATGAATCCTGCCATTTCTACACGGACAGTTCAGTGACTTTGATCACATTCAAGTTATGCAACTTCTCTCTGTCCTTTCCCAAGTTGTTCTTCCTTGTTCATGTCAGCTTCCGACCTGCCCTTCTGAGTGGCGGCTCCTTTGATCCCACAGAGTCGTCGAGTTCAGTGCCCGAGACAGACATTGCTCGCTGATTACTACTAGGATGCTTTGCGAGCATCACCATTCCTGAGCTGTTCCTGAGTCTGCATCTGGACAGCTCTTTTGTCAGACTCTTCTGTGGTCTTCGCCCCCAAACAGGGTAACCACTGAGAGCCACACTCACTTTTTCTGTTGTTTTATTTTTTTCCCCCTCTTCTTTTAGGAGCACAGAGCCTGAAGAACAGGACTTTGAGAAGAGTAATTCCCGGAAGCGGCCCCGGGATGCCCTGCACAAGGAGGAGGTGGAGATGGACTTCCAGGAGAACTGGAAAGCCTCTGGTAGCCGGTCCTTCAGCCCCGAGCACAGACAGAAAAAACACAAAAAACTCTCAGAGCTGGAGAGACCTCACAAAGTCGCTCCCAGCCACGAGCGGCAAGACGAGAGAAAGAGGTACCACCAAGCCTCACCAGCTTATTCTTCAGACCACGACTCTTCCGATTACGGCCACGTGCAGTCCCCTCCCACACCTGCCAGTCCTCACCAGATGTGTGTGGACCCGTACAGATCCCCGGAGGAGGACCCCGAGCCCACGGGGCCACACCAGAAGTCGGGGCCAGGCCACAGTCATGCCTTTGAAGACAGACTGGGGGTCAGTCAAGAACGGTGCGTGGGTGAGCCCCTCAGTCAAGGGACGGTGAGCCAAAGCAAGGAGCACAAGTCCTCCCACAAGGAGAAGCGCCTGGTGGGTGCCAAGGGAGACGAGAAGGGCTCGGCGCTGCGCAGAGAGAAGTCGCACAAGGCTGCCTCCAAAGAGGAGAACAGGAGGCTGCTCCCGGGCGACGGCCCGCGGGAGAAACCACTGTCGAGTGGTGCCAGGAAAGAGAAGGACAGAGAGGGTGGCGGCACCAAGAAGAAGCCCTCCCCCCCCTTGGAGGTGGCTGCCGCCGACAACCACCTTAAAAAGCCAAAGCACAAAGACTCGGAGCGGAGCAAACCGGACAAAGCTAAGCCAAGCTTGGACAGCGTCGACAAAGTGAAAGAGAAGGCTTCTAACCATCTTAAGGCTCGGGAAGGGAAGCCAAAGCCTGCTCCTCAGGACAGGAAGTCGGGGGGCGCCTTCCCCAGAGTGGAGGAGGCAGACCTGGAGGATGAATTTGAGCAGCCAACCATGTCTTTTGAGTCCTACCTCAGCTATGACCAGCCGCGCAAGAAGAGGAAGAAGGTTGTGAAGCCCTCGGCCCCCGCACGCGGAGGCAAGGTGCTGAAGAAGAGCGCCTCCAAGAGCGCCAGTAAGAGCGTGGGCTCGGCTCCGAAACCCTCCAAGGGCAAGGAGCACAGGTCTGAGAAGGCGCAGGCGCCCGCAGCCGACTCGGCCAAGGTAGGCCAGGAGCACTGGGTCCTGCAGACCGGGCACCGGGTTTGTGGGCCTGCCTGTCCACGCCCTGGTGGATGTCGGTTTGTCTTCCTCCTTCTCAGGCCTCACTATCGGCCGAGTGAGGTCTTTGCTCAGGGGCCCCATTTGATGGGTCCGGCTAGCTCTGCTTCCTGACGCTGGCGTTGTCAGGACTGGCAGCCCTCCCTCCGCCTCGGTCTGATGGGATGGCTCTGGGGACACGCTGCTTTCCCTGGGCGGGCTGCCTTCACTGTCGCTCCTCTCCGCAGGTCTTCAGCGAAGTAGTGCCAGTGTTGCCAGACCTGCCGCTGCCCATGATACAAGCCAATTACCGCCCACTTCCTTCCCTTGAATATATGTCCTCCCTGCAACCAAAGCGAAAAGGTAACTGTTCTCCAGCCTTTCGGAAATGGGAAAAGATTTTAAAAGTTCAGTCAGCAAGCATAAGTCACGATAACACAGATGTGGCGGGTTTCTTAAGCGCGACCACTCAGGCCATAAGGATTAGGTTCCAGCCAGCCATGGCTTCTGCGTGGGGGCTTCACAACATCCCATTTAACTTTTCAGTTTGGTGAACGTATACAGAGCACATCGGTTTTCTATTCAACAATTCATACACATTTTTTTCATGTTATTGATTTCAATCTCCACAATGTACCACCCCCCTTCCTCCCTAAGCCTTATGAACTTTGTCCCTGGCTAAGTCCTGCCCTTAGGCCTCGATGGTTGCTTGTATTCTGTGGTGTGCATGACCCCCATATTAAGGTCTGGTCGCCTGCTTGGCTGAGAATTGAGCCATGGTGGAGAGTTCAGGTCCAAGCTGGGGAGGTGACCGAGACTCCGAATCTTAGATTTCCAAGATTCTCTGACCAGTAAGCTTGACCTAATTTTTAAAAATAATAAAATTCCATGAGCTCTTAATTCCCTTCTTTTCGATGAACTTTTTGAAGCCCCTTCGTGTAAGTGCTAGGAGCTTGGGTTCTGTCTTCATCTGTTTGGCGGCAGTTTTGTGGTCGGTAGAGTGGGAGTGATGATGGTGGCTCTGGCAGCGGCTCTGTGGATAACGTGAAGAGGCTGGCACAGGCCTTAGCGCCAGGTGTCAATGATGAATCTGTCACTCAGCTGCTGCTCTGATCGTGCTTTGTTCGGTGCACGGTACACGTGCCTTCTGTCTTGTAAGCTTGTCTAGTTTTTATAAAGAAGTCCGAGCATCTGTTTGTTAGCCAGAGACTAGCAGTTACATAAATGATGAGTCCCCGTTACAGCGGGATCCTGGGCAGCTGCAGATGCCGCACAGTGGCTGGTCTGTGTCCACTGACGTGGAATAGGCTCTGAAACACTGTCCGTGAAGAGAACATGGTGGGGGGTACTATTTGGGTGGAGAATAGATAGGAGACACTTTGGGTTCGCTTTGCACGGACTCTGGGAAACTACCTGAGGACCTGGCAGTGCAGTCCACCTTTGTTAGTGGGAGCTGGGAGGGAGGTGGACGACGAGCTGGCCCCCTAGTCACCCCGCCTGCCCTGCCGCCCGGCTCTGCAGTGCTCTCATCGCCCCAGGAAGAGGAAGAAGCCGGATTCACCGGGCGCAGGATGAATTCTAAGATGCAGGTGTATTCTGGCTCCAAATGCGCCTACCTCCCCAAAATGATGACCTTGCAGCAGCAGTGCATCCGTGTTCTGAAGAACAACATTGACTGTAAGTTGCCCCCGTTGCTCTCGCCCTCGTGTGTGCTGAGCCCCGAGCGTGGTGCCGCTCACTGCATGACTCCACCACCTTTCAAACGTGCACCTCTGATTCTCTGCAGCCATCTTTGAGGTGGGCGGCGTCCCCTACTCTATCCTGGAGCCTGTCCTGGAGCGGTGCACACCGGATCAGTTGTACCGTATCGAGGAGTGCAATCACGTGAGCATCCTGAGGGCGGGTGGGGAAGAGGACAGGTTTCTGGCTGTGTGTCTGACCCAGCTGAAGGGGAGGGGGCTGGTGGTCAGCTCACCCAGCTGGGCATTTTCAGAGTGCCTCAGTGGCTTTAAACACACTTTGAGCAGCTGCTCCTGGCATGTTGAGTGGGTCTCTTGGGCTAGAATCACGGTGGGATTCCAGGGATTGAAAAATGTTTCCAAGGCCTCCCTTGAGCTTGCCCCTCACAAAGGGCAAGAGAGAACTCTGGCCGCAGCGTACCTGGGACCCAGAGCAGGGGTGCTTCGTGCTGACCAGCAAGTGTCTGGTGACTGAGAGAGCACAGGCTGGCCGAGGCCCACCTGGTGACAGCGAGATCTGGCCAGAAGGTTTTGTCATAATGCTGGTGTACTCCCGGGATTTCAATCACCCTCTAACTCAGAGACCTCTGCTTCTTAGGCACTGCCCCCACAGCAGAGAGACCCTGTGTAACTTCAACCACCATTACTGTGCATCCACCCTCTCCCAGCTCCCAGTGCCTTCCACCGAGGGGATTTTGTTTCGTTTTTTAATTCAGTGACTCCACCCCCCACCACCTCACTACGCTAAACAGTATAGCATGCTTAAATTCGATTCTAGCATGAGGAGCAAACAATTACTAGAAAGCCAGTCACCTCCAGGTGATTACAAAATAGGAGAGAATTGTTTGTTGTGTGTGTGCTCGTATGTAAATATGTATACGTGGTATCTGGTTTCAGGTATTAATTGAAGATACAGATCAATTATGGAAAATTCATTGTCACCGAGACTTTAAGGATGAAAGGCCGGAAGAGTATGAGTCGTGGCGGGAGATGTACCTGAGGCTTCAGGATGCCCGAGAGCAGCGGCTCCGATTACTGACGAAGAATATCCGCTCTGCGCATGCCAATAAGCCTAAAGGTAGAGGGCGGGTAATGGGCTCGCCGAGTGAGTGCCTGCCTGCAGCCCCTGCTCCAGAAGGCAGGTGCTCATCTGTGTTTCTCCACAGGCCGGCAGGCAAAGATGGCCTTCGTCAACTCGGTCGCCAAGCCACCTCGTGACGTGCGAAGGCGGCAGGAGAAGTTTGGGACTGGAGGAGCAGCTGTCCCCGAGAAAGTCAAGTAAGATTCTGCCCCTAGGCGGTTTCTGCATGCTCAAGGAAGGGAGCCAGAGAAGCTGGTCCCATGAACACTCACCCCACTGCACTCCACCACCCGGCCTCCATAGGGAGGGGAGCGCCTGCAGAGTGTGGACTCCGGAGACAGGCCTGGGTCAGCTTAGCCTGTTACCTCCCTGCGCCTCAGTGCCTCCCACTTCAGGGTGGGCTGGATCAGCATTCCTGGTCCTCAGGTGGGGGTGATGACAGAGAACAGGGCCTGTCTTGGGGCAAGGGCGGGGGAAGTATTATTTCCTTAAGTTCCCCATTTCCCCTGTTTAAGTAACAAAAAACCACTTCAGTGATGACTAAATTATTTCATCTAAGCAGCATTAGATTTTATACCCAAGCAGTATAGATTTTATACCCAAACAGTGACTGGTTAGCAGCTGCGAGCTGGTGGCTCATCCTGAGTGAGAGGCCCGTATGGTCATCTCATCTCTGAGTGCTCACCGAACTCTCAAGAAAGAGCGTGATCGGCCTGTGTTGCAGGATCAAGCCAGCCCCGGCCCTCACTGGAAGCAGCCTGGATCGTTTCAATAGCAGCAGCAGCAGCGGCGGCGGCGGCAACAGCTATACCCCATCCACCGAGGAGCCGGCCTGTGATGGCCCTAGCACCAGTAGTGCCCACTTCGTGCCAGCGGTCAGCAGCTCTGTTTCCTACGATCCCAGAAAACCACCTGTGAAGAGTAAGTAACTTGGGGTGCAGAAAGCAGATCTGGCTGGTGGCCCCCGAGCCCCCACTTTGGGCCCGTCACAGCAGGGCCCCCGAGTAAAGACATCGCTTGGGTCCAGCTGAGCCCGCCACGCTGCTGCTTTCACTTGCGAGAAGCCTGTGTCCCCGAGCAGCGGCCTGGAGCCCGAGTTCCTCTGACCAGCTAACCGATAGTTGTCTGTCTTAGCGAGCTTGTACAGCCCTCCAGCCCCAGCTGCACCAGTCGGTATTTTTTTGGAAGTTAGACAGCCACCAGTATCCCAAGAGGGTTCCCTCGTTTAAGGACAACAATGCACCTGTATCCACTGTAGGGGCTTGAGGGAGAGTGAGGTCCTGGCTTAAGCTCTCGCTGTGCTCAGGTGAAGCGGTGGGTCCAGTGGACGCATTCTCCTTCCTCTGGCTGGGTGTGCATTTAGCTCACCATATACCCCTGCTGCTGCCTGGCCTAGATACCGGTTTGGTTAGTCATATGGCCAAGTTAAGTTTTGGCCCACTGACTGGTGCAGCCTGGCAGAGATGGAATTCCAGTTCTGCCTCTTACAGTCTAACCAGAGGCCAGCTGCCCGAGCTGGCTGCGCCTCGGTGCCGGTGGGTGGAATGGCTCTGCAGGTGCTCCCAGAGTTCTCTATGTGCTGCTTGCCCTTTCGGTCTCCCGGCTGCTAGCTAGCAGATGGCCCCAGAGTGTGCACGGTGGCCTGCATCCCTATCGTCAATTATCAGTAACAATGGCTGGCGTTTCTCGCTCCACAGAAATTGCCCCGATGATGGCCAAGACGATTAAAGCTTTCAAGAACAGATTCTCCCGGCGATAAACTGAAGACTTGTCCTGGGAGACGGGATTTAGGAGGACGAGGGAGGAAGACAAAGGCTGCAGAATCCAGAGAACAGAACTTCTTCTCAAAGAGACTGGAGTGTTCGTTCATTCTCTGCAACCTGTCGGCCTCGGCTCCTGCAGCTTCCAGGTGTTCTGCCTGAGACTCTGCGTGGCCCGGCCACTGCCTCCCTGCCTGGGGACACTTCAGAATTCTGAAGATGATGTGAAGCCTCAGGCACACTGAGGATTTTAAGGTCAATTATACTTTTGTTGTTAACTAGCCTCTTTGTAAAGTATAAGACATAGTTTTAATGAATAAATATTGCTCCCAGATTGTATTTACATTACCCCCAGTATTTTTTTTTTTTGCCCTCTACCACACACTTAGCCTTTCCCTTTCCAAGTCCTGTATTCAGTGTAGGACAAACACCTGGTGAAAGCCATTCTCCCACTGTGGCTCAGGACTCAGCTGTTCGCGGTGTGCTCTGTGCCTGGGCGCAGCTGGCCTCCTGGAGCTTGCGTGGAGGGCCTTGGGTAAGGGGGCTCCTCAGTGTTGCCGAGTCCCCAAGCAGCCCTGTCCTCCCCTCCCCTCCCTCTTTCTGATTCTCATACCTGCTGGGGTGCTGGTAAAGGTCTCGCTGCCATCCTTGTTTGCCAGCGCCCTCTGTTGGCTGTTCTGTTTGTTTTGAGGCTCACTGGAGGACAAGGAACCGTGAGACACTTGTTTGCAGTCTAGAATTCTTCCAGTTTTCGCCTCAGCATGTTGTGTTTTTTTTTTCCTTCTCCCCTTCCCTATTCCTCCACTTCTCCATGAGCGTGGGGGGTGGGAGTGGGGGTCCCCAGACACTTAAGTGGCAGGGCTTCTGTGGCCCTAGATAAGACTTAGAGTCTTAAAAGCCAGCACTTTAATCTCTTGTTCCTTGTGAACTATTTGTACCAGAGCTGCTGGTTGTAGAAGTTGTACTGCTGTGCAAGACATTGGTTTTGCTTTGCCTTTTTAAAGAAGGTAAGATCATGTGGTTGGAAGAGCACCTCAGCTAGATTGCTGGCACTCCCTCTGCCCTTGGGTGCTCAGCCAGCATTCGGGAGGAGGGGCCACTATAGGAGTAGTGGCGGATCTGTGGCCTCAGGGCCAGTGAAAGGCCAGGCCACCACATAGGAGGACGTTGACAAAGGAGCCAGAGTGGGATGAGGAGGGTGGTGCTGAAGCCCCCTCGGCCCTTGAACATGAATCTAATAGGAATCCACCTGGGTGTAAGCCAGGCTGGAGTAAGTGCTGTTTGTTTCAGAGCTTTCTGGAAGCCCAGAGGGCAGACCCGCCATTGTTAAACATCCTGGAGGCCTCCGCGAAGTTAGCCTGGCAGGTTCAGAGCAGCCCAGGGCCTCTCCTGGGCCCAGTGCTTCTCAGGGGTGGGATGTACCATGTGCCGGTGCCTGCTGCTGCAGTGCCCTCTGTTTTCATTTGCTGCCTTTTTTAATTAGGTAAAGCACTGTTTCTCCTAATCACTTGTCCGCCCTTACTCCGCTTGCCCCACACCCTGCCTCCCAAATCTGATAGTAGGAGGCCTCTACCTGAAGCCAAATGCAAATTTGGGTTGGGTGCAAGCACCTGATGATGTCTAGAGGAACCCTCTAGGTGCCCTCCTCCCCCCATGAAGCTGTGCCTCAGCTGTGTTCCCATCCTTGTCATTGGAAGCAGCTGTCCATGACCTTGGTTCAGTTGGGTGTGATCAGCGTCTTTTGTTAGAGACTTCTGGGCAGGGAGGGGAGAAAGGATGTCTTAGGAGAGAGCTTCAGAAGGTTCCCGGACAAATGGAGTGGAGAGAATGGGGGTTTTTTCCACACACTTTTCACGCCCCTCGTGTTTCTTCATCCTGCTAGCACCGTCCACTTGGAGCACACGGAGCATTGTGAAAACGTGTGCAGTCCCCCAGCCCACCCCACCCCGTGTCTCCTGTGATACACTACAGACATCCAGACCACCCAACGACAAATGAGCCCTTGGAGCCTTGGTGTGATGAACTGCTGTCTGCAGCACGCTCTCCCGGGACAGGAGGGAAGGAGCGAGGCAGCAGCTGCTCTTCGTTTGTATTTTGGTCCCAAAATGTAAATACGATTTTCTATGTTACTTTTTTGTGGTAACTATCAAGATAAATATTTTAATTAGATAAGTTATATGAAAAAGGAAGGAAAATTCCATGTCTAAATAAAAACAACAACAAAGCCACATGCTGTCATCTCCCTTTCTTGTCTTGTGTCTGAGCACGCAAGCGGCTCACACAATTCCCCACCGGCTAAGCCCGAGAGCGGGAGAGGGAGGACCAGGCACTGTCTTATTACGTTCCTGGAACCCTCTTCAGGAAAGAAATTCTTAGCACCGTAGCCCCCTGCCCCATAAAAACCTTTTGTACTCCAGCTTACAAACCAGGATAAAAGTGTAGGTATCTGTTGTTTCAGATCATTCCACCACCCCCAGAAGACAATGTCACCTATTGGGAGGAAACAATGCTATAATGGATTGAATTTCAAATCCCACACCCCCACCCCAAATATATGTGGAAGTTCGATCCCCTAGTAACTGTGAATGTGACCCTGTTTGAGGGTGAGGTCACGCTGGAGTGGGGTGGGTGTGAGGTCACGCTGGAGTGGGGTGGGTCCTAATCCAATTGGAGTGCCGTCCAAAAAGAGGAGTGACAGACAAGAAGACAGCCCTGGGAGGAAGGAGTTACCATGTCCCGGCATGCCTGGGGCCACCAGAAGCTGAGGTGAGAGAGAACTGGGCTCCGGCCCCTGCTCCTGCTGACACCGAGTCCAGACTCAGTGTCCAGGCCTGTGAGGTCCTTTTCGTTTGGCCAACCGTCCAGTGTGATCCAGTCTGTGGCATTGTGTTACGGCAGCCTGACCCATCACCACGGCGTCGGGCCCTACGCAGGGGCCTATAGAACAGAGTAAAGGCCCCATAGGGTTTCCAAAGCCGTCAACTTTCACCAGTCTATCTCTCCAGTGGAGCAGCTGGTGTATTTGAACTGCAAACCTTCTAGTTTGCAGCCAGAGGCTTAACCATTGCTCCACCAAGGTCCCTTACAGCTGCCCTGGGAAACTAACACGCCTCCCTCCCTCCCAACGAGGGCCTGCTTGTTTGGTCTGGGCAGATTCTTCTTAATTCTCTTCAGTCTACTCACTGGCAGGAACTCCCCCTCCCCCTAACTCACGGGATGTGCAGCTGGGGGAGGGGGAGGCCCTTACCCTGAGTGCAGTTCAGTCCTCGGTCCCTGAACACACCTGGCTCGGACCCTGGCATGTGGAGTAACGTGTAGTCTGGCGTGACTACCCTCTGTGTGCCAGGTGCCCTTCGGCTTTGCATGCACCACTGCCTTGGTCATCTCAAGGGTCCTGCAAGGTCAGTAATAATGGCCCTGTGATACAGACGATGAGATAGCACCGTGTGTCGGCCGGCCCGTCCTCAGACTACATGCCCTCAGTCACATTAACCTGCTCACACACATCCCCTACTTGGGGCTTCCTTCCAGGAGGAAGCAGAGCCAGCATCCATGGGTAGAGAGCCATGCAGAAAAATCACAGAGCCAAGGCCTTCAGATCTGGTCTGTGTGCTACCTAGCATCACCTGTGTTTCTTAAGCACAGACCAGCAGGCTGGGCCCCAGGAGTATGCTCTTCCCTGCTTATTTTAAAAAATGTAACCCAAAGACTTTCTCAGATGTACACTGATGATTGAAAATGATTCCCACTCCCGAGAACTCACCACAAATAGGGTAATTTCTCTTCACAGCCAGTCCATGCTTCTGGGCTGGGAGCTTATGAGTGGGCTTCAATATTGGTGGGGAAATTCTATTATCCTTTAGCTCTGTTTTCCCATGAATTTTGTGAAGCCTCTCCTACATTGAGTATGACGGGGTCTTAGCGAATATCTGTGTAAGAATCTCTGAATAAGACAGGCAGGGCCCCTCCCACTGGGAGACAGCAATCGACTGCACAGACACTTGTTAAAGGTCCAGCGTTCTGTCTCAGTGTAGAGATTCTGGTTAATCGGGAGGCCTAGGCCTTTTCTATGCCTCGGTGAGTTTGATGAGCGGGAATTCCTACTGGGGAAAGGCGCTCTGGTGACACTGTCAGGTAAGCCTTGGCTGCTAACCACAAGGTCGGCAGTTCAAACCCACCAACCACTGGGAAGGAGCAAGTCAAGGCTGACAGCTCCCAGGAAGGCTGACGGAGCCTTGGAAACCCTACCCAGGGTCACTGGGCTGGAGACGGCCTGGTGGCAGCGGGAGTTTTGGTGAGGAGGGAAAGCCAAGCACAAGCTGTGTCTGAAAGCTCACAATCCTGGCTCCTCTATTCACTGTGCGACGCCTCTCCCGAGCCTCTGTTGGCTCGTCTATAGAGTGGGATAATAGTATCAGTAGCTCACAGAAATTACTGTAAGGATTCAATGAGAGGAGTACGTTAAATGTCAATGTCCTCCCTCATTTCCCTTAAATTTGGAACTAGAAAATTTGGACATTCTGATGGACATACTGATGGACATTCAAGCTAAGGGTTATTTTGAGATCAGAATGTCCTTTCTGATAACTTCTATTTTAGCCCCCAAACCCAATTCCAACTCATACTGACCTCTAGGGCAGAGCAGAACTGCTCCCTAGGGTTTCCAGGACTGTAACTTTACAGGAGCAGGCACGCTCTTCTTCTTCCTGGGAAGAGGCGGGTGGATTCCACTGCTGACCTTGAGCCTTACGGCACTCCACCACCAGGGTCCTTCCTGCTCCCTCTCTGCCAACGAGGCAAGTGCCCATACAGGGCAGAATAGAACTGCCCCTGACAGCCCCAGCTGCTCTTTCTCCCACTGGTTTCAAACTGCTGACCTTTTGGGTCACAGCCCAAATTGTAGCCACGACTCCACCAGAGCGCTCTCGTCAAGGCTAATCTAATTCTTTCGATTCTAGACTTCTGCCTTACTCTGTCGGCTCCCCTACATGGTCAGCCCTGCAACCACCAAAAAGGCCAATGACCAAGTTTCTTCTTATCACAAACCCACCCGCCAGGGTTCATTTCCACCAGACACTGGGGAGGGGTGGGGCCAGGAGACTGAGGATGTTTACACAGCTCCACCTGCTTGTTTCCAGGTAGAAGGCAAGGCCGGGTACAGCCACATCTGAGTTAAAAGAAATGAAAAATAGAATCGTGATTTTTATGTAAATTCCCCTAGTGTTCAAAACCCTGTGCCTTAGCCCTAGGAGATACATAGAAAACCTCTTGGATACTTTTTCTAGAGACACAATTTTCCAAAACTGACCGCACAGAGATGGTCAATCTAAATGGACTAGTTAC